CTTTCATTAGTAACCCTGGCAATAAATGCTCCCCTTCCTCTTTTATAGTTTTATGTTCAGCTCTTGCATGAGTTTGGGCAAAAAGGCCTCTTTATGATATAGATTATCATCATGATTTTATGTGCTTTTTTCTTTATCTTTTGTTTTCTATGTAAAATAGCAATTAAAGATCTCTTGCAAGTAAATGTCCAGTGGGATAAACCAGCTTTGTAGTCATGTTTTAAGATGCTGTTTGGCTTCTTAGATATTTTCTTCTATGTTTAATTTCCATTAGTAGTCACTAAATGGAAATATAATAGCCAACAAACAATGTACAAGGAAAAAACCCCTCAAGTTTATGGTCTCAGATTGTGATTCAAGAATTGCAGCCATAACTAAATAACAAGCAGATTGAATGAGGACTTGTCATCTCACAATGTTATGTTGATATTGCATAATGACCTTTCTATAGTAGTACCTTTTATTAAAAATACCTCATAGGCACTATTGATATGATAGGGTAATATGACTCCAAAGATCTATGCGTTTCTTAAATGTATTTCAGTTATATTTTGGCAGTAAAGAGAGCAGGAAGATAATGTGTCCATTTAAGTGATCAACTACGTATGTAGAAATTGAGTAGGAAGATGTGTGAGGGGCTTTTAGATGAAATCCTTTCTCATGTATGAATTGCCTCTGCTGCATATATAACTAACTGTGTCATAATGCTTTGGGGTAATTCAGCAAGTACAGCACTGGAAATGGTGTTTGTGTGTACTGATCTTAAAGGAAGTATATAAATGGCTTTATAAATCCTTCTGCTGCTTTGCTGTTATAGTACATTGATCCACCTTTTTCTCCCAGCTCTTTTTCCTGTTTTCTTAAACAGTTGACTAAAACTTTAATTTTACCTACTTTAGATCTTTTTATTTTCCATTCTTAAAATGGTTATTATAAGTTTTTAAAAAAACCACAAAAACCTCATTTGTACTTTCCTGCTACTTGGGACAATATGTTTCCATGAATTAGTATTTCAGTAGTAAACTGGAGAAGCTTAATTATGTTTTAAATACTTTTGTTATGACCTTGTTTTAGTACATTTAAAATTTTATATCCTAGTGAAATCCATTTTAAATCATACAGTCATACACTATTCTGTAATAAATATTTTAAGAAATTTTATGTGGAAATTTTAAAAAAGCAGTACATTCTTCTTGATGCATTATTTTCCTTTGTTAACATACTCTGAAGACTTCTATATCTCAGAAATACATGTTTTTTGTTTGTTTCTTTGTTTCCTGTACCTATCAGTTCTGATTACCTTCTTTTTGTTTTTTTCTCTCCTGACTTTTCATCTGCGTTCCACAGATTTCCTCCTCTGATGCTCCCCTTCAGCCTTTGGTAGCCTCTCCTTCTCTACAAGCTGCTGTTGAGAAAAACAAATTGGAGGTATGGTAGTGTTTTAGCCAGCTGCATTTTGTAGTGTTCAATGGTAAATGAACTTCCTTTCTCAGTATGCCATAATTTGGAGCGCTGTAAGAGTTGTTTAAATTTTGTATGGTCTCCAGTATTAAATATGTTAAATACAACAATTTCTAGAATATTTTCCTATGCCACAGGTAGGCTTAAAGGGCTTTAATCTATATATAATTCCAGAATGACTGATTTGTTGGTACCATAGGTATATCTCAACATTTAAGAAGCAATTAACTTTTTGTTATTTCCATTGCTGCCTTATACTTAACATTTTTTTAGAATTGCTGTTGAATTCTTTGATCTTTTAGTAAAATCTGATTAAAATGTTTTCTTTCTGTGATTCTGTTATAATCACTTGAAGAAAGTTAATTTTTTTTTAAAGCAATAGTCATATAGAATCATGAGTTTAGAATCATAAATCATCATTATTATACTGTGTTTGGGTAGAGGTGGTTAAGGGTACATGATACTACCATTATGAATTTTTAAAGCTATCCCTACACATATTTGAAGTTTTTACATTTTTTATTTGTTATCATGACCTTAATGAATTTGTTTGAAACATTGTTTGAACTAACACTTTCTGTGTCTACCCCTTGATAAGTGGTGCACAAGACATGGGGGATACTATGACAAATAAGATATGGCCCCTACTTCAAGGAGCTAATAGTCTAATGGTGAAAAACAGATAACTAGATAACTGTACAGATTTCTAATGCAATATAATGTGGGCTGTGATTGACATGCACTCCCTGTGCTGCTGTTAGTACAGGAGGCATACTTTTGATGCATCTTAAACTCTTAATGAACATTAGCTGTAAGGATGAGAGTGCATTCTTAGTAGAGAACGCATCTTGTGGTGAAAAAAAGCCTGTAGGCAGAGTGGAATGTTTGGGGATTTGCAGGTAGAATGGCGTGGCTGGAACGTGCATAGAATTGGGACAGGAGTGGGAGAGGAGCCTTCTTGTGAGCCTGCTAAAGGAAGTTGGTGTTCATTCTGAAGGCCCTGGTGCTTTAATGATGAGTTCTAAGGGTAAGAGGGGTAACAGGATCTGATTTTCATGTCATTACATGGCTCCACTGTCTCTCTGGAGAATGAATTTTGTGCTGTTGTGTGGAAAAAGTTTGAGAACCTGTAATAATCCATGAATAAAGCGATGGGAGCATGTGCAAAATGGATGCAGAGGGAATGAAAAGGAATGTGTAGTTTTAAGAGATCTTGAAAAGATAGAATCTGTGGGATTTAGTAATCAATGGAGTATGGAGGTGCTTTGGGAAGATTTGATGACTCCCGGTTTCTGTCTTGAGCATCTCAGTTAGATGGTGATGATACTGAGTGAGAAAGGATAGAATCTGAGGAGAGGAGGAACAGATTTGAAGAGATAAAAGAAAGGGAGATGAATTAACAGTTGTATTTCTTGGGTGTGAAGTGACCATTGGAACATCCAGGTGTCTAAGTAGGTGGTTGGATATACAGGTCCTGTAGCCCAGAGGAAAGAACCAGGCTGGAAAGGAAGTAGGGAGGGAACAGCATTTTATAATATGTAAAGAACTGTTACACATCTCATTTATTCTTTACTTATACTTTACTTATAAAGTGGGGATACTGTTATTTACCTCATAAAGTTGTTAGGATAAAATGAGTCAAAACAGTGTTTGGCAAATAGTAAGGGACCAGTAAATATTAGCTGTTGTAAGGAAGAACAATACCAAATAGCAGTGCTTCACTGGATGACAGTGAGACTTAAGAGTTTGGGCTCTGTTGTCCCACAACCCTACCATTGATTAGCTGTGTTGCTTTGTGCCTTACTTTTTTAAGACTGTGTTTCTTCATTTGTAAAATGACAGTAATGACAGTTTTTTCCAGACAGTTATAAAAATTAAATTAGAAAATAAGGTGCTTATCATACTGCCTGACCCGTAGAAACTTTGATTACATCTCTTATGTTATAGCCTAGGAATTGCCAGTATTAATTTTTCTGATTTATAAATAGCAAAAATTCTTGCCTTGAAAGAGGTGGTATTAAACACCATTGTAAAGTCACAGGTGCAAATGCAACCTTTAGGCATTTAGACTAAGTTTTGTATGATTATTTTCCTGCCTTTCCTAGGTTCATCAGTTTATATATTCATGTTTACTGCCAGGAAGTTAAGGTCAGATCAGTGCTCAGTTGCAGTAGTCATTCAATTCTAGGTTTCTACACATCTCTTCCCTCTTATTGCCTACGAATAATGCTCGTGTTTAATCTTTTTTCCTTAGAATTTTTAAAATTAAATTTATTGCGGTGACATTGGGAAACAAGATTACATAGGTTTTAAATGTGCAGCTTTATGATACATTATCTGTATATTGCATTGTGTGGCTACCACCCAAAGTCCAATCTTCCATTTCCATATATTTGACCCCCATAATTTACCGTTTCATTCCCTCTTCCCTCTGGTAACTACCATACTATTGTCTGTGTCTGTGAGTTTTATTTGTTTTTCTTGTTTATTCATTTGTTGCTTTCAGTTTTATATCCCACATATGAGTGAAATCATGGTTTTTAACTTTTTCTTTCTGACTTATTTCACTTAACATGATATTCTCAAGATTTATCCATATTAATCTTTATTTCATTTTTCTCTTTTTGGCATGTTTGTGGCCCTTAAGTTTTTATATTCTATTTTGTTTTATCCTTCTTGAAAATGCTAATTGTGAACATCATAATACCATTATAGTTTACCTTGACTGTTGAATTACACTAACTAGTAAGTTGGCTCTGGTCTCAAAGCACTGTATTTAACGTGGCTTTTCTTTTCATGATAAAATAATTGTATTTGCCATGTTAAAAACCACAATACTGTGGTAGTAGACTGAAAATGTTTTGTGATATTTTAAAAAATTGAAGTGATTGTGCTGTACCTTTTTCTCCTTATGTTTATGTAATATAATCTGTCTGTATTGGTGTGATAGGAATTGTACTGATTAGTTAGTTTACTTTTTCTTCTTGTTCAAATTTCAACTTTGTGGTTGCTATTAGGAAGCTTAATCTTATGTAAAGATGCAGTGAGAGTTTATTGAATAGAGGTCTCATTTGTTAAATTACACAAACTCTAAAATATCAAAGAAGTTCTAAATTATCTCACCTGCATTTTAGTTTTTTTAAGAAAAGATATTCTTTTAAAATTTTTTTGTTATTTATTTTTAGAGAGCATGTGTGCATGGGAGAGAGTGAAACTTATTTATGCATTCATTGGTTGCTTCTTGTATGTGCCCTGACCAGAGATGGGACCCACAACCTTGGTGTATTAGGACGATGCTCTGACCAACTGAGCTACTGCCCAGGGCCAAGAAAAGATATTCCTTATTGTGTTATCAGCCTCTAACCTTAGTGAGAGTATGGATTTGCTGTTTACTTTTATATTTCAGTATCACCAGATATTGTCATCATTGAAAATTTGTAACTTTCTCAAATGACAAGTTGAACTAATAAAATAAAAATGAGTTAACAGCTGACATTTTTTTAAAAGTATACTTACCAAAACTTTGGGATATGTTTTAGAAAGAAAAGGAAAAAAAAAAGGATGAGAAAAAGAGAGAAAAGGAACCAGAAAAGCCTGCAAAACCTCTTACAACTGAAAAGGTAAACTTTCCCCCCCCCCCAAATTCTGTAAAGACTACCATCTTATTTGTATACTTAGATATGTTGCATGAGCTTTGGGATATTCATAATATGCAAACAGTCATTCTTTCAGCAAGTATTTGTTGAGTGAATACTGTGTGCTAAGTATGGCTAAGTATGTCCTAATAGCTTGTTCCATATGATTTATAGTCAGTTACTTATGTGTGGGTATAGATGATGTGAGTTCCTCCAGGACAAGTATTCCCTTATTAATGACATAAAGAATGGTGTTTTATAGTTAATAAGTTAGAAACCAACATGTATGAGCCATCAAAATTCACCAGTTGATGGGTCCAGCCTTTTAACTCTCCAGACCCTGTCTCGCCAATCAGGAGGTGAAGAGTTTCAGCTCAGAACTTGTCTTCTCATATGAATAATAAAAGAGAGTCTCAGATCATATATAATCTAAATTCTGCTTCCAAAACCTGCATTGGTCACTTAGAAGTTTTAAGAATTCAGACAGTTTAGTTTTACTCTCTCATTTTATAAAAAAGTAAAGCTTGCTAGCTAGATATTTGCTTAAAAAAAAAGAATGGTGTTTTAGCTTTCATACACAAACTTCAGTAAAGTTTAAAGAATGAAAAGATCATACCCGAAGGGGCTTTCAGAAAAGACTCCATGCTTAAAGTTAGCATTTGAGATAGATTTTGGAGGTACGTAGATAAGGTGGAAGGCAGGAGTGTATCATTTGGAGAGAACACCTTGAGGACAGGCATGGAAGCTGGAAACAGAGTATGTTTAGAAAAAGAGGACTAATAGAGTTTGAAGATACATGTCTATGATAGAAAGTAGTGAAAAATTAGACCAGAAGGGTAGATTGAACTTAAATTGTAAAAGTCCTTAAAGTCCAGTTTGATTCTTTTTTGGAGGAAAGGCTGTGGGAAACATTTTTAAAGTTTCTAAAGCAGATGATACACCTAATTCACAAGGGTTCTTTCGGAAGATTATTTTGGCTGTGATCTGCAGGATAGACATGACTAGGCAAACTAGAGGTAGAGAGAACATTAGATTTTTATAAATAATTATGGCTGCTTAGCTTTGAATGCATTTCACCATATATAACTATGGAAGCATGGTAGGGGGATTGTCAGTAAAGGGAGCATTCTTGATTTTGTTGTTGAAATTTTAAAAATGGACTTTATCAGTGTATAAATTACGTAACTACAAGGTGCATCCATTTAAAGTGTACAATGCCAATATGTACTGGTTCTTTTTCTGTCATTTGTTAGAGCAGTCTCTACCTTCAAAGAGTTATAAACAAGCCTTCAGCAAGTTAAGATATACCAAGCATCCCAAGACTCCTCAATTCATGTAGCAGTCAGTTCTCTCCACCATCTGACTCTTCACCTGCCTTCCTAGCATTCTCCTTCCATTCTCCATACCAGTCAGACTTGTCTATTGTCACCTAAACAAACTTTCCTTCTTTAAATTGCTTTGCCAAGAATGTCCTTTCCTCTCCCCACCTCTCACCTAAAGCTTACTCATTCCAATGTTTCCATGAATCCCCTCTAAACATCCCAACTAGATACACTTTCCCTTTCCTCAAAATTCTGCTCACTGTTTCCTTTAAGTACTTAGGTTTTATTAAATCCAGGTCACACCTCATCTGTTATTCTTGCTCAATCTGCAGAGGTTGAGACCTCCTACTGCTCATGGTGGAAGCCTGTTGAAAGAATAATCACATAGAGGGGAAAACTTTAGTTCCTATCAAAGTTTTGTGTCAAGATAGTACAGAGTGTATAAAAAGAAAGATATTTAAAAGTATAACAGTGGAGAAACTGAAAGAAAAATAGCACAAATAAAGAAGATTTGCTTCACATATACACATTTTTCTGTATGTTCTGAGCTATTATTTTTCAGAGAGTGTATGGAATCAATCTATAGAACAGAAATTAGTGGTAATATCAATGAAAATATAGGATGGGGAAAAGTAGGTTTACAGTTGTGAGTACATGGAACAGAGTTTATTCTTGTATTATTATCATTGTATTATTTTACATACAACTACAAACCTACTTTTGCCCCACTCTGTAGTAGCAGTAGTAACCAGAATAATCATCATCATAAGTAATAGTTGGCTCTATTGACCATCTGCTATATACCAGGAACTGTGCTAGGAGTGCAACTTATATGTACAATTATATATGTACAACTTATATATAAAGTGACCACCATATATCTACCACCTAAATCAGGAAGTAGAACATGCCAGCATTCCATAAGTTGCCCCCCATAACTCTTCCCATGAAAAAAATCACTTTCCTTCTCCCAGAGATAATCATTTTCTTGCATTGTAGAAGTAGTTTCACCTTCTCTGCATGCATTTCTAAGTAAGGTTGGTTTTTCCCCCTCTTTTTTGAACGTATGAATGAAATAATACTGCAAATATTCTTGTGTTTTGCTTTTATTAGTCAACCTTTTTTGGGGGGTAAGGGTCAATCGTGGTGGTCATAGTTATAGCTTATTCAGTTAATTGTTCCTCACTGCAGAATTGCTGATTCGAATTCTAGATCCATGAAACTGGGTGAAAGCCTGTCTGCTGGGTGACTCACTGAAGAGCACCAGTGAGAGAAAGGCTTCTCTTGGGTATGGACACAAATCCTTTTCTTAGCAGTTTTACTAAAATGCTGAAAGGAAATAATATAGTTATGTATATGAAAAAAAGTTTATGATAATGCCATTAAGTGGGACATAAAATATAAGATCAGTTAAAACCAAAATCAGCCATTTTCGTAATTAGAAATTATCCAAAGTCAGGTTTATCTTTTAAAATCACAATTCTTTTCATCTAATTCCTATTTGATTAGAACCATCTGCATTTGGAGGCAGAATAAAATAGGGTGTTAGGATTAAAAATTTGATTAGATACATAGTCTTGAGCCACAGAAAGCATTGACCCTACAGCCATAAACTTTATCGTCTTCTGGAATACACTTTTGTGGTTCTTACAATTATTTGTCTAGATTGCTGCATTTATTTCAAAATATTACAGTGCCAGAAGAACTGGAAGCAGAAAAGGATTCCAAATTCATCAAAATTTAGCGGGGCCTGAACATTGGGAAAAATTAAGAGATAAGTCTAATTGATTATAATAAAGTAAAAGTGGCTAAGCCCTTCACAGTCTGGCCATAACCTGTTTTCATTTTTTATTTTAGTTAATCTCTTCCCAATCTATACAATTTCCAGGGAAACTGAGTAGATATTGTCTTCTGAACATGCCATTCTTATTTTTGTCTCAACTGATTTGGTTCTATAGCCATCTCCTCCCACCCCCAGTGCCTCTTCTTTCCACCCAACCAAGTCTACAACTCCTTCTAAATCTTTATCATTGTATTCAGCCTCGTTTCTTTTTATGGCCATTTTTTCTTATTTATAAAAATCATGGAAATACAAGAAAATGTATAAAGGAAAACCAGTTTTTATAATCACCTGTCATTTTGCTATCCAGAGTCTCACCACTTTTAACATTTTAGTTTTTTTCTTCCAGTTCATTTTTTTCTGTGTAGACTGTATTGTTTTTATGTTTTTCTTCTCTCATCCCCCATTTAATATTATATAATGAGCATTTTATGGTAATACTGGTATTACCATAAGGTTTAGTATATGATATGGACTGCATTAATATGGTTTTATATTTTCTAAATTTCTAGCTTATTTTATGACAGTTTTAAATATAGATGGAAGTGAAAAGTTTTTTGGATTTCAAAAAGGTACTTTGTACCTCACACTCGCTACTATGACTACTTATAAAAACAAACAAAATAACAAGTGTTAATGAGGAAGTGGAGAAATTGGAACCCTTGTGCATTGTTGCTGTGAATGTAAAATGGTGCAGCCGCTGTGAAAAAAGGTGTGATGGTTATTCAGAAAAGTAAACATATAATTACCATATGATCTAGCAATTTCACTTCTGGGTATATACCCGCAAAATTGAAAGAAGACTCAAAACAGATATTTGTACACTAATATTTATAGCAGCATATTTTGCAATGACCAAACATTGGAAAAGACCTAAATGTCTATCAGTGGGAGAATAAACAAAATGTGATATATACATACAATGGAATATTATTCAGCCTTATAAAGGCAGGAAATTCTGACACAAAGCACAGCATGAATAATTCTTGAAGACATTATACTAAGTGAAATAAGCTAAACTGCAAAAGGACAAATAATATATGATTTCACTTCTAGGCACCTGTATAACATACCTAAGAGAGGCTAGAATAGTCAGATTCATAGAGACAGAAAGTAGAATGGTGGTTGCCAGTAGATTGGGGGTGGGGTGGGTGGCAGAGAAATGAGCAGTTATTGTTTAATGGATACAGGGTTTCAGTTTTGCAAGATGAAAAGATTCTGAAGATAGATGGTTACAATGGTTGCACATCAGTGTGAATATACTTAATGCTAGTGAACTCTACAGTTAAAAAGCGTTTTACCATATTTAAAAGTTAATAAATTTTTAAAGGTACTCTGTAAACATATACAGCTTCATCTTTATAACCCAATTTTAATGAATTTTATACTATAACAATTTTATTATTGTCATGTTATTGAGATACATGAATTATGGCAAATATTTTAGCTACCTTTTAGCTGAATGTTGTGTTTATCTGAGTTATAATCTTTTTTCTTATAATCATACTGTTTCAGAAAATATTTTTTAATATGGCATTTAAACTTTTAAAACAAGGTATTGATTTATTTTACCAGTAATGGTAATAAGTTGTACTGACCTGTGGTGGTGTGGGAGGGGAAAGTCATAGGCACTAGACTGGTAAGTCACAGTGTACTAAAGAGTACTGAGAAAACGTCTGCTTGTCCAAGTGGGTAATGCTCAGCCACCAATTAACAGATGAGAATACGGATATTTTATCTTCCCATTTATTATGGCATTCTTACAAGTGGGAACAATAATGAATTGAAAATAAAATGGGCTTAAGTTATACAAATATATTTAT